GGATAATATAATCGTAATGGCAGGAAGTGAGTACAGTCCTCTTGGCTAGAGAATCTCAGTTACAATGTTTGGGGCAGACCAACTGGAAATGATGCTACGTCAGGGACCACGTTTGAAAGCCTAAATCTAAGTTGACAGGAGGTGTTCCATGGAGGCTCTGGGAAAGAGGGACTCGAAGGCAGACCTCCACACAGTGGACTTACTAGTCTCGCTCTGTCACCCAGGCTGGAGCGCAGTGGCGTGATCTCAGCTTACTGCAGCCTCAACCTCCTGGGGTCAAGCAATCCTTCCACCTCAGCCTCCTGAACAGCTGGGACCACAGGTACAGGCCACCATGCCCAGCTAATTTTTGTCCTTTTGGACAGACAGGGTTTTAACATGTTGCCCAGGCTGGTCTCGAACTCCTGAGCTCAAGCAATCTGCCTGCCTCAGCTTCCCAAAGTGCTGGAGGTGTTTTATGGATTGAATACTGTTCAGTTGTACCCTATGAAAGTGGCCCACCACAATGGCCTGTTTTCCTGAGTGATTCTAGAGAGACAGCAGGAGGGGCTGCTTGCTCCCATGGGGCTCAAAGGGCGGATTGGAACAAAATTGGACAGTGGCCTCTGTGCTTGCTGGCTCCCCAGCCCCGAACCTCCTCTCTGTGGGAACCACGGGACACTCATACTGCTGGAATGTGGCTCTTCCCACAGTCAGACACCACTGGCCAGCCAGGACCTCCCCTCCTGTTGAAAAATGCTCTCCCTTGCAGCTCCCACTAGGAAACCTGGAAGGCTAAACTGTCTATGACGTTGTTTCCCTAAAATGTGCCCAGACACTGTGTTTTTTAAAGTTTCTGTCTCTTCTTTCTGTTAAGAAAGGAGAAAAAGGATCCCAGCTATTCGGGAGGCTGAGGCAGGAGAATTGCTTGAACCAGAGAGGTGGAGGTTGCAATGAGCTGAGATTGTGCCATTGTACTCCAGCCTGGGCAACAGAGCGAGACTCCGTTTCAAAAACAAAAGACAGGAGGAAAAGGAAAAGCATTCCCAGTACTCTTGTCCACCTCCTCAGTTGGAAGTGCAATAAAAAGGTTCTTCTGGCTGGGCACGGTGGCTCACACCTATAATCCCAGCGCTTTGGGAGGCCGAGGCAGGCAGATCACTTGAGGCCAAGAATTCAAGACCAGCCTGGCCAACATAGTGAAACCCTGTCTCTGCTAAAAATACAAAAAAATTAGCCAGGTATAGTGGCATGCACCTGTAATCCCAGCTACTCGGGAGGCTGAGGCAGGAGAATTGCTTGAACCTGGGAGGTGGAGGCTGCAGTGAGCCAAGATCATGCCACTGCACTCCACCCCAGATGACAGAGCCACGCTTTGTCTCAAAAAAAATAATAAATAAATAAAAAATAAAAGGATTCTTCTCTCTAGTGTTCCCATGTCTCTCAAGACACTCTCCCAACTGCCCTGGTGCCCAAACTCGTGTTTATTCCCTTCCTATTCACTACCCTTCACCTCTTAGGTATTAGGTAAAGCCAATGTCTTGGGGAAAAGTGACTAAAAAGAGGAAATGACAGTTTTCTCTCTAACAAAAATATGAAACCATCTAAGAAGAAAAAAAATGAAATAGACCCATCTTTTTGGTAGTGTGCAGAGTAAAAGCCATTTTAAAAAATTATTTTTAAAAAAACATGATTTTCAAAATTCGTATAGCTGAGAACACTATATTTTAAATACAGGTTGAGTATCCCTAATCCAAAAATATGAAATCCAGAATGCACCAAAATCTAGAGCCTCTTGAGCACTGACAGCGCTCAAAGGGAATGCTCCGCTTTAGGTTGAGCAGCCCTATGATGCAAATAATGGATTAACACAATCCATTCAATTTAACTTTTTTTTTTTTTTTTTTTTTTTAGCTATTGTTTATAAAATAAAAACTAGCCTAAGCCTTGCTGAGTGGGCATATCTTGATTGCAGTTATTGTTGCAGAGGTACATTGTGAAGAGGCCAGGTCTGTAGGTCAGCCCGTGCCGGTCCTGGTTTATGGATGGTTGGAAAAGAGCTAGTCCCATTCCAGTTGTCATTGTCAGCCAAGTGCATTGTGGAAATATCCCACTTTCCTGGCAAAGCTATCATTGGTATATTTCCACTTGGCCCAGTGCGTGGAATTGTTTTCATACGCTTCCCATGCTTTGAGAGGTCTGCGCAGAAGAAAACATGAGAAGAGGAGTGGGGAAGAGCAGAGGGGTTCAGACAGGAAAAGGGGGAGAGCGAGAAGGAGCCTGACCCTGTGGGTCTGCCAGGGCCCTGCATAGTCCAGCTTATACCCTATCCCCTGGCCTCCAAATGCCCAGGAAGCAGACTGCCTCGGAAGACACTACATGTTGAGGTTCACATCACCAAGTCTGCTGTGTCCAAGGCTTGGACTGAGCACTGGAAAAATGACCCAGTGGCCAATTAAACTTTCCACTGGCAGACATTGGATGAAAACTTTATTTTTAAGTGAAATCTTTCCGTTTGAGTAGTTTTTTAATGAAATGAAGCACGTACTGACATGCACTCTGTGGAGAATAGGAAAATGATTAAATTCTGTGCTGCCATTTTGGGTGGCGGCACTCAGAGCCAGCGTCAAGCATTAGGAGGCATTTCAGGGGCTGTACCACCCCCAGAAGGATCTGTCAGGCCCTTCTGCCTGTCTCCCCTCCAGTTCCTGTGGGCTCCTGGAAGGGACAGAGACACAGGAGATTTCTGCAGGTCCAAGCTCTGTCGTTGCTGAAATATGAAACCAAGGACTGTACTGAAAGATGCGGCAAGGCAAATGCTTTGGAGAATGCCAATTCTGCTACGTGATTACACACTCTTCCTTCCTAATCTTTCTGGGCAATACGTATGAAGAAATAGAAACAGTAAATAGTGTCGTAACCATTTCAGGTTTCATGGCCAAATGAGGTCAGTTCAGATCAGTTCTGCAGTCAAGTGAGTTACAAAAACTTGATGGTGTTCAGAGCTTGTTGGATTGCGGAATTGTGGAGAAGGAAATGCTGGCCTCTGACCGCATTTGTCTAGAGCCCAAAGAGAAGCCTGCCTTTCATTCCCGAGCAGCTCCAGTTCCTCCCTTGCTTCCAGCTCCCCCGCCCCCATCCCCCGTTTTCAGCCATTGGAGGAGGATGTAGGCTAATTAGCCACAGTGCTGCCTCTCCCTCTGCCCAAGCAACTGAGGAAGTCACTGGAAAGGCATGCATGGCACAGAGGCAGGGACCCTGACTCCCTCACCAAACCTCTCTCTCTGAAATAAGGGGTCGCCCTGACACGTGAGTGAGGTTATTTTACGACAATTGCATTGAAGGCCTACTTCAGTACAGCAGAAATAATATATGAATTTTTATTATCTCAAGAAATGATCATGGCAGAGAGTAAGAAAGCATCCTGAAAAGGTCTGGAGGGACGTGCGACGGACGGGCTGTGGTTGACAGCCAGGAGGAGCCAGGATGCACTCAGCTCTGCAAGTAACAACACAACCACGAGGACTGGCAACAGACCCCAAAGTCTGAGTGTTCCCTGCCCAGGGGGACAGGCTGTGCTCTGGGCCAGCGCCTCTGGCTGTGCTGACAGGTTTCCAGCTAGCAGGTCACCACCTCCCCTGGAAGTAAAGGGAGCGAGCTCCATGCGTATGGTGTGTGCTCCTGCTGGCTGTAGCCCTGGGAAAGAGGGGAAGAAATCTTGGTTTCTATATGGCTTGACGTCGAGTTCTTGCTCCTGCAAATTAACCAGGTCAGAAATTGGGGAGGATTCCAGATGACAGCCTCACCAGCCAGGAAGCAGCCAAAGCATAGCACAGCTTGACAGGGAGCTGCCAGAAGGTGATCTAACGAAAAAGGGAAGCAAAACTAGAGAACAGTGGTCGGCAGTAGTTGGGAAGAGGTCAGGACATTGGCCACCCCCTAAGCATGGTAGTTCCTGTAGTGTTAAGGCGGCCAGTGTGCAGGAGTCCGCACTCTCTAAGGAGTTAACGATCTGTCTTCTGTTAGTGCTATGGAGCCCAGTGTTTCAGCAGCTTCCCCAGAGTCAGGAAGACCTCAGATGATGGATGGCCTGGCTGAGGTCATCAGTAGAGATCGGCCCCGGACACGGTCTGTCTCCCCATCAGATTCACCAAACCTCAGGGCAGTGGGGTCACAGGGCCAGACAGTGCCCAGCCACGCTGGCATGATGGCAGATTTCCCACAGTGAGGAACTAGGAGTTTGCCCAAGCATGAGGAAAACAAATTTATGAAGTTCATAAAAGGAGTTTATAAATGCTATAAACAAGGGGCAGCATGCTTTCATTCTGTGTGGATTTTTTTGTCTGCTTTATTCATATATTTTTGTCAGTTTAATTGAAGTATACACACAATAAAATTCAACAATTTTAAGAATGCAGTTTATTGAGTTTTGACAAACATAAACAGTCACACCACCCCATACATAATATAGAACAGGGGTTGGCAGATCTGGCCCCCAACCTGTGTGTGTTTTGTACATTTTTAAAGGGTTGTTAAAAAGAAGAAGACAGGGATCATATGTGACCCACAAAGCCAAAAATATTTACTGTCTGGCCTTTTACAGGAAAAGCTTGTTGACCCGTTGACCCTGACACGGAACATTCCCATCCCACTTGGAGATCCTTCTGGCCCCTTTGCAGGGATTCCTCCCCTCCCCAGGCAGCCACTGATCTGCTTTCTGTAGATGTAGTTGTGCCTTTTCTAGAATTTCACATAAATGAAATCATACAGTATGTTGCCTTTTGTGTCTGGCTTGCTTCACTTATATTGCTTTGGAGAGTCATTCTGGATTTTTGCATGTCTCGGTTCTGCACTCCTTTATTTCTGAGTAGCATGGCAAGGTTTGACTCCTGGGGGGAATGGGGGCACTTCACATGTTTTAGCCACCTGCAGATGCAAAGAAGAAGAAAGGGGATCTGCAAGTGTGGCGGTCAGGGCCTGGAGCCCCGGGGTGCCCACTCTCACTGCCCTTGTCTTTGCAGGCATGAACAACCGGGAGGTGCTGGAGCAGGTGGAGCGAGGCTACAGGATGCCCTGCCCGCAGGACTGCCCCATCTCTCTGCATGAGCTCATGATCCACTGCTGGAAAAAGGACCCTGAAGAACGCCCTACTTTTGAGTACTTGCAGAGCTTCCTGGAAGACTACTTTACCGCCACAGAGCCCCAGTACCAACCTGGTGAAAACCTGTAAGGCCCGGGTCTGCGGAGAGAGGCCTTGTCCCAGAGGCTGCCCCACCCCTCCCCATTAGCTTTCAATTCCGTAGCCGGCTGCTCCCCAGCAGCAGAACCGCCCAGGATCAGATTGCATGTGACTCTGAAGCTGACGAACTTCCATGGCCCTCATTAATGACACTTGTCCCCAAATCCGAACCTCCTCTGTGAAGCATTCGAGACAGAACCTTGTTATTTCTCAGACTTTGGAAAATGCATTGTATCGATGTTATGTAAAAGGCCAAACCTCTGTTCAGTGTAAATAGTTACTCCAGTGCCAACAATCCTAGTGCTTTCCTTTTTTAAAAATGCAAATCCTATGTGATTTTAACTCTGTCTTCACCTGATTCAACTAAAAAAAAAAAAAGTATTATTTTCCAAAAGTGGCCTCTTTGTCTAAAACAATAAAATTTTTTTTCATGTTTTAACAAAAACCAATCAGGACAGGTGTTTGTTTTTGTTTTCTTTTTTATAAATATGAATATATATATAATATATATGTCCCTGTACATATACAATGTGGGTGCTAATGTGGAGACTGTGGCCAGCCTGGGCCACCAAGCTATGGGACCCAGAGGGAGGATTTTACTGTAAGTCAGCATCAAAGCACTGGTGTTATTCTGAAAACACCAGTGGCCTCATTTTTGGCTTTTGCAAAGCATGAATTTTTTCATTTGGATTGCACTTTCCTGGTTCATGACTGTACCTGTAGATGGCTGTTACTTTGACTCTTTTCAGGAACCGCCCCCCCAGGCTGAATTTACAAGTTCTGTTAGCAGTATTTGCTTCAACTTACTGCCGTTTGTTCCCAAAACTTAAAAATAAGCAAGCAAATGGCTACCGAGAGAACTGGAAGATGGATACCACACAAACTTCTTGTATAAAAATATGAGTGCTGAAATGTTTCAGACATTTTTAATTTAATAAACCTGTAACCACATTTAAATGATCTAAAACCCATAGCATTGTAGTCATGGCAACCTGCTAAACTTTCTCATGCAACTAAAATTTCTGGGGGAAATGAGGGTGGGGGTTGTACATTTCCCATTGTAAAATAAGTGTTTTAAATGTCCTGTACTGCTAATGAATGACTTTCTATATGTCCAGGAGTTCTCCAGTGGAATAACTATGCACTACTTTACATTTCATGGGGATGCACAAAAACAAAAGAGTATTACATTTTTAGTTGCTGTTTGTACCACCTTAAATTACATATGTTTAACACCAACAAATCAAAAATCCTATTTCTATTGAGTTTTTAATACTGACTAGCAGCTCTTAATTCCTTTTTTGTTATGATTCATTTGTGAGTTTACATTTTTAAATTGTTTAACTTTCTTAATTTAGTAATTAAAAAGAGAGCATTTTACATTTGAATTTTTTTTGTTTATTTGTTTAAATCATGGAAGGTACTCGTAGTTCTGTGGTACATCTGTCCCACACCAGATGGTATGGAGTCACCTGGTGAATTTAGCCTTTGTGCGATGATTTGCAAATGACAGAAACATTCAGAACATCTGGAGAGTTCTTTTCCCTCTAGAAAGGGTAGGCTCTTGACCAGCTATTTCAGAGGGTCATTAAAGCAAACGTAGGCATACCTTACCATTTGAATTTATCAGGCATTTTTTCTAACTGGAATTTACTGTGTCCTGCTTGTAGGAGAAATAGACAATCACAAGAAGAATCTTTCTGTCCTGGAGTCAGTAGATGTATTTCCAAATGTCCCCCCACTTCTGGAAGGAAGGAGCTAACGGAGGAACAACCTAGTGTGGTAGGAAGGGCAGTGGGTGGACGCAGGCTGCCTGTCCGCGTCTGGCTCTGTGATCATTCAGCTTCAGGACCCTGAGCCACCTCCTGGCATCTGTCATTTTCAGGGCCTGTCTGTAAAACTGAAGGGGTTAGATGAGATCTCTACAGCTCTAAGATCCTGTGATTCTAAGATCACTGATGCCATGTGGGGTCCTAGAAAAAGGATGGTTTTCTTTGTTGAAATAACCTTTACATTTAGGGAGGGCCTCCAACACTAAAAAAAAAAAAAAAAAAAAGAAAAGAAATAGGTTTTCTGATTAATCAAAACTTTATGGTGTTGTTTTTAGCATTAATAGACTTGCTAAACTGATAAAATTTTATTTATTTATTTATTTATTTTTGAGACGGAGTCTCTGTCGCCCAGGCTGCAGTGCAATGGCGCCATCTCGGCTCACTGCAACCTCTGCCAGGTTCAAGGGATTCTTCTGCCTCAGCCTCTTGAGTAGCTGGGATTACAGGCACGCACCACCACGCCGGGCTAATTTTTGTATTTTTAGTAGAGACGGGGTTTCACCACGTTGATCAGGCTGGTCTCGAACTCCTGACCTCGTGATCCCCCTGCCTTGGCCTCCCAAAGTGCTGGAATTACAGGCATGAGCCACAGCGCCTAGCAGATAAAATTTTAAAGATCTTATTACTTATATTATTATCACATTATTAGGTAGTTGATTAACATATTCTAGATATTTTTAAAGATAACTTTGCTTTTAATCCTCACACCCCACTAAGTTGGATAATTTGCAAATATTTCTGGAGGATTTTTGTTTATGTTCTGATTCATTCAAAACAATCTGGAAAAAAAAAACCGTTTTAAATAGAAATTCTTTTTTTAAAAAAAAAAAAAAAGTCTCTTCAAACCAAAGTATAGCCTTTAATTTATCAGTTGAGTTCATGGTGGATTCTCTTATATGAAAGAAAGCTAAGGACTCGGGCCACCTCACGGGCACTCTTAGGAAACACAGCGTGCTGTAGAGTGAGGTTGCAGAGTGAAAGTAAGAGAACATCTATAAATACAAAGAAGTCAGAGACTTTTGGGTTTTTTCTTCCAAGAGGCAAATGTGCTTTCAAGAGATATTCCTGAGGTAGGCCATTCCAGAGAGTCCCCACACCTCCCAAGTAGCCTCTCTTCCTCATAAGTTGTACAAGCTTAGGGTGAGGAAACTGAATTTGCTGACCAGAAAGTTCTCCTGTTAAGAAAGAAAAGTATCACCTTAATGTCAGGGTGATGGTGAGGAATTTTTTGTCTTCAGTAACCTGGCAGTGAGCAAGTATTCGCTTTGTCCCCTTAGGAAAGCTGGCATCTAGCACTCCTCTGCTGGAAAGGGAGCCTTCCTCATAAACTATTACTTTTTACTTTTTTTTTAAGACAGGGTCTTGCTCTGTCACCCAGGCTGGAGTGCAGTAGTACAAACATGGTTCACTGCAGCCTCAACCTCCCGGCCTCAAGCGATCCTCCCAACCACACTGGCTAATTTTTATTATGATTATTTTTTGTAGAGATAGGGCCTTGCCATGTTGCCCCAAGCTGGTCTTGAACTCCTGGGTTCAAGCAATCCTCCTGCCTTGGCGTCCCAAAGTGTTGGGATTACAGACGTGAGCCACAGAGCCAACCTCTTTTACTTTTTAAAAATCAAACAATAGGCCAGACGCGGTGGCTCACGCCTATAATCCCAGGACTTCGGGAGGCCAAGACGGGCAGATCACGAGGTCAAGAGATCGAGACCATCCTGGCCAACCTGATGAAACCCCGCCTCTACTAAAAATACAAAAATTATCTGGGCGTAGTGGCATGCGCCTGTAGTCCCAGCTACTCAGGAGGCTGAGGCAGGAGAATCACTTGAATCCAGGAGGCAGAAGTTGCAGTGAGCCAAGATCGCGCCACTGCACTCCAGCCTGGCGACAGAGTAAGACTCGTTATCTCAAAAAAAAAATAAATAAATAAATCAAATAACAAACCTATTGGAGAAGACCATTTGCAAAGTTCAGACATTGTAACTGCAACAAAAGGATTTCTGTTCACTCCATTCTCTGCAGCTCCTGATCTCCTCTGATGATCAGTTCACGGGCTGGGAGGATCAGAGAGCCTAGGAGACAGGGGGTCCCATGCTTTAGAACATCAGGGTAGATAGAGACAAATAATGCATTTGACTTTGCCATAGTCATGACACAGAAAGGTGTATGGGGAACCAGGCATTTCCGTGAGAAAAGTTAAGGATATATATAATCCCTCAAACACAGCCACACTGTGGAAGATTTCCTTACCAGCACCAGGAGGGGTTTACCTGCTTTGAGAAAGATAGGAATCCTCCTGTGGCTAAGTGTTGGCGCCAGAGGATTTTATAGTAGCATTAGTGTGGCAAAATATGATCTGCAATTTCCCAGGGGGTCTTAAGAATGTATACTATATTAATTGGAATGGTTCTTTTATGAATCTTGAAAGAGTATGGTTGTCAGCAACAGGCAGAAGAGAATTGTACTAAAGCCCACAGCAAAAGGGATGTCATCTGTTTATTACTCACGACTCAGGACAAAGAACGTCACGTGCTAGGCATGGCCTAACAAGTTGTATTGGAATAAAATGACCTTTGGTCCGTTTGTTCCTGAAAGGTATTTTAATAGGTTTAAATGACTTTTGTTGACCTTCTTACCACTATATATTATACAATACTGTTGGAATTCAATTATGCTGTCAAAAACATTTGTTAGAAGGGAGGGAGGAGACTGGCTTTGGTTTGGGGGCAGGGGAAGGAAGCTTAAACACATTCTTATTCTAAAAATGATATAGAGGGCATAGATTACTAAAGCAATTGCCAATTACATATATTTTTTTAATTCTGAAAAATAGTTTATAACTACAGAGAAGAAAATAATGAAAAATACTACCTTTACTGTATTTGAAATATCAAATAGATCTTTGTAATTTATATACACCTATATTCCCAGAAAATTTTCATACATAATAAACTCCTAAATCATACCTCATTCTTTCCCAACATGCAAAATATTCAGAATCCTATGGAGGGACAAATATACCTTTATTTTAAAAGTTAATTCTGAGCACTGAAAATAAATGGTTTTCCAGTGTTGCAGGGACATTCTAACAAAATGTGACCAGTGACGAACAACGGCTTCCTCAACAGCCAGAACACTGTGCTCCTCTCCATCCGGCTTACTACTCTCCAAAAACCTGTTTAATGCCACCACTGTGTTTAATACACTCTCCTCTGATGTGTTTGCCCTGCCAGATTGTGAGCCCGAGAACAGAAACTTCCTGATTGGCTCACCATTATTCTCCCTGCACCTAAAACAGTGATGAGCTTCTGGCAGATGCTGGCTGGACTGATGGATGGACTGTTAGGTGAATGAGGCCGACTGTCCAGTGAGGTGAATGGTTTACCTTCGAATGACACATTTACCTAAGAACCTGCTAAGCACATGGGACTGACAGCATGCTGCCCACAGTGCTAGTCCTGAGCATTATGGACGTGTGGCCACCAGTGTTCCAGATATGATTGAAGGCCCAATCTATAGCCTGATACTTCCCAACCCTTTCCCTAGAACTGTCACAATGCCAGTGAGGATAAACTTGTACCTCTGTAACCTGAGAGACAGCATGAAGTAAATGGCACCAAGTGATACATACTCTTATTTTGATTCCATTTGGTTTTGAGATGGGATCTCACTATGTTGCCCAGGCTGGATTCAAATTCCTGGCCTCAAGCAATCCTCCCACTTCAGTCTCCCAAGTAGCTGGGACTACAGGCATGTGCCACCACGCCTGGCTACAGTCTTTGTTGTTTGGGGGTGCAGGGGGGTGACAGGGTCTCACTCTGTTATCCAGGCTAGAGTGCAATGATGTGATCATGGCTCACTGCAGCCTTGACATTTTGGGCTCAAGCCATCCTCCCACCCCAGGCTCCCAAGTAGCTAGGACTACAAGTGTGTGCCACCACACTCGGCTAATTTTTTCTTTTTTTTTTTTTTTTCTTTTTTTTTTCGTAGAGAAAAGGTCTTACTATGTTGCCCAGGCTGTAGCCTTAGGTAAAGTGCCTTCAAAGGCTCGTTTTAGCTTTGTAATTGTATGAAAAGTTGATATTCTACTCCCTAAGATATCCATCTTTGTCTTCAGATAAAAATTATTTTCCCAAGTCATCAAGTTGTGCCATATTACCCAGCCTGTAGCTTGTAGTGTCCCTGATACACCCTTGCATGAGGCAGGGAGCCCGTGTGCCCTGTGTAAGAAGCACAGAGTGAAGATGTTGTCCATATCGTACATGGAAAAGGTAACATTAGCCCCCATTAATGTGGATTCTCTCATCTGATTTCCTTTTTTCACCCAGCAAAGTGCCCAGTGACTGAGAATGAGACAGAAGATGAGGGCGTTTGATGATAAGGAAGAGGAAAGCCATCAGAGCCACCTGGAAGTAGAGGTCTGCTCAGGTCGGCCTGCTTAACCAAGATGGCCGCCAGTGGGAGTAGGAAGGATGAAGACATTGCACACATTTGGAGGAAGAACCCAAAGCTGGCATGAGAGGAGTCCTTTCCAGGGCTGTTCAAGGCAACGGGATGCAGGTGGATATGACTGTAGATGGGTGTAAAGACTTACCATTCACTCCTCCAAACTTCCGTTGTATACTTATTATGGGCTAGGCCCTGTGCCTAGCCCCAGAAATTCAAAAAGAGACCATATCCACAGTCTAGTAAGGACGAAGACCCATAAAAATAGTTGCAATAAGCTCTCTTAGAAGCACAGTTGTTAGCAAAGTAGTAAGATCTAGCTCAGAATGGGGGCGCGCAGGGGAGGCTTCCTGGAAGCCTGACTCTCTTAAAGACAAATGGAAGTAGATTACATAGTGCTTAGTAAGGGCCTACCGCTCCTTGCCTTTGGATTTGTTTCCTTCTGATTTCTAGCCCCTGTTGGGGTTACCTCATGCTTTCAGTACAGAAGACATAAACAAATGGGTCTCAATGAAGAAAAGCCAAGAGTACACACACAAGAATCTCAGTCGCTCTCTGTCTCTCTGTTTCTCTCCTCTCTCGCTCTCCCTCTCTCTCCTCTCCCCCGACCCCATTAACAGTGTATATAGGTACACCATTTATTCTGATTAGTGGCCACTAAATAGAGGAGATGGTAGATAATAGCATTCAGGGACGGAGGAGGGTTTAGCAGGTTGTTGGCTCCAGTGTCTCGATTAGGATATGGTCTGAAATATATTCATATTCATATTCATATTCTCATAAAGTATGAGAATAAAAGAATTGCTAGGAAGAAGCTTGGAATAACAATAACTCCTTACTACCTCTCAATAACAGCTAGTGGGAGGTTTTCTCCTATTTACAAATCCATTGTCATTTTTCCACTTACTAGCCAGGCTGTTTCTCTTGAATCATCATGCAATACGGACATTCATGATGGAAGGTATATACTAGCAGTTGCCTGGTGTTCTGGTTGTTTTGTTCTGGATAGTTCTCCTTTAGTTAATTATCAAATGCTTACTATGTAATAATCAATGAGTAGCTAATTGGAAGCGAGAGAGAATGAAGTGGGTATTATTCAGATAGTGTTTTTAATGAAAAGCATAGACATAGTCCTGTGGGGAAATATCACTAAATAGCAAGAGATTTCATCTTTTTTTTTTCTTTGGTGTGTGTTTACAAAGGATTCATTTAAGCCACTCATAAACTAAATCCAGGTATGTGAATCCTTTCATTTTTTTTTAGACTCCTCCCAAGGGGTAAACATTGGAAGCCACCAGGAGGGAAGCCAAGCCTCTAGAGATTGCTCAGGAACCCCAACCACCCCAATGGAGCCGGAAGGTCTGTCAATTCCCAGAGAGGGAGGAAATGGTAAGCAAATGGCAGCAGTTGCCTAGAGAATTCGGGAATGAATAACAATGCTTTCTGGTAAATTAACCATATTACATTGTGCAGAGGAAAGTGATAGGAAAACCCTGTTAAAAATCGAATAATAATTTGCCCACCTCATTTATGCAAAATGCATAATTTTCCTACTTCAGTGGACTTTAGTTTGATTTAAAAGATGAGCAGCTCTAGGACTTTTCACCAAAGCATAATTTGTAAGATAATTGGGAAGGGGAAGAGAAATCAGACAGTAATCAGCACAATCTTTCCTAAGCCACTTCACCTTCCTCCTCTCACCTGCAAATTTGGGAAAATATTTGTTTACCCTTTCCTGAAGTTCTCTAAATGGAAGTGCAAAGCATTAATCATTGTCATTGCTACCACTAAACCATAACCTCACCATGAGAGGGGGGAAAGCAATGCTTCATTCTATTCAGTATTTTTCTGCTCTAATTCAAATAAGTACTTGTTTTGAATAGTGGGGGGGAAAATGGAAATGTAGCAAAGCTATAGTTAAAACAGCAAGCCGAGAACAAAAGCAACACGCATGCAGGCAAAGGAGACCTTGGAAGACACACAGATAAAACAAAAAGCTGTGCTTGGCTGGGATTCTGTTTCAGAATCAAATGCAAAATGGAGAATATTGTTCCAGTTGTAAAGGTTTTGCAATCTACAATCAGTCGGAATGAAAAGATATCATGTAATCCACCTTGACAGTCAGAAGCTGCTCTGTTGCTGTGAATTGTGATATTTGTTCATGACTAATGTAGATTTTCAGACCCAGAATGGTTGAAGGTGGGCAGGAATTTGTAGGTGTACCAGATACCCTTCACTTCAACAGGGCACAGCCATGTCAGCTGAGGTTCATATCTCTTCCTCTCCTCCTTTTCCCTACTCCTCTCCCCTTGCTCCCCAATCTCATTAGAATCATGACATTTTTACTTATATATTCATTAATTCTCTTCATCCCCATCTCTCCACAAAAGATCATTATCTACTTATTAAACTCAGCCCTTACACAGTGTCTCATGCCTGTAATCTCAGCTATTTGGAAGGCTGAGGCAGAAGGATGGCTTGAGGTCAGGGGTTCGAGAACAGCCTGGGTGACATAGCCAGATGTCTCTAAAAAAAAATTAAAATCAAAAATGTAGTAGGGCATGGTGGCACACAACTATAGTTCCAGCTGCTCAGGAGACTGAGGTGAGAGGGGATCACTTGAGCCCTGGAGGTCAAGGCTGCAGCAGTGAGCTATGATTGTGCCACTGCTCCAGCCTGGGCAAGAAAGCAAGACCCTGTCTCTGGGAAAAAAAAAAAAAAAAAATTTTTTTTTTAATAAATTCAGCCCTTAGAGTTCTACCTTTCAGGGCAAACCTGTTTCCTTTGTTGGACTAATTCCTGTCTCTTCTACAAACTTGCTGGTCCCACGACACTGAACTTTGAACCCCACAAATCTCAACACTTCTTATCTGTTGGGTGCCCATTCTGGTTACGCAAAAGGACCTTCCCTAATCCTAATACTCCTCCCCACTCCTTCCATCTCTATCCCCAACCACTGCTACTGGCTGAAGATTTATTAGATACTAGTTTTGTACCTATGCCTCCTGCCACTTGCTATAAATCGCCTTTATGCAAATCGAAAAGGCTACCCTGCCTCAAGACACTTTGCTGCCATCTGCCAGGAAATTGTTGTAATAAATATGCAAAAGGATAATGACTAGAATGTGAATGTTGCCCCCTAGAATTGTGCAGTACACAACTGGCACAACTATATGTGACAACCCTGTTGTCTGAAATCACCTGAACTCTCCTGGAACCCTGTGTAAAAATCACAACCACCATAGGTCAGTCTTGCCTTTTCATGACAGTTTGCCATTTCAAAATCTAAATCTTCCACCACGGTCAGAAATTGCTGAGGGGCAGTTTCCAGGAGAGACAGAGTCCCCACACAGCAGTCAGTACCTATGAGATTATAGGGCTCTTCCAGCATTCCGCCCAAGCTCTGACCTGCTACCTGGCAGATACAACCCACACCACACTTGGTTGATTTTCAGGAAGCATCCAAGTTAGAAAGCTGGTAAGGCTGAATGTTGGGGTGCAGGGGGAGGTGGACCTAGCTTACATTCAGGTCAGCCATTACCCCTCTCTGGCTTTGGCGGCTTCATTTCTTGTTGATTGCCCCATCTGTTCCCCTCCCTCCTTCCCATTCAGCACAACCTGCACGTACTGGTGATCTCTCACTACATAACAAACCACTCCAAAACTTAGTAGCAGAAATAGAAACAGTCATTTCTTTTGATCACGAATCTGCAATCTGAGCAGGAGTCATTGAGGCCAGCCCACCCCTGTTCCATGCAGCCTCAGCTAGGGCAGCTGGGGTGTGGCTGGAGGAGCTGCTGTCACGATGGCTCTCGCATTTCACAATGGCTCTTCATCAACACGCTGCTACGCTGATGCCCGCTGTTGACCTCAGGAGTTCAGCTGGGGCTACTGATAGGGGCTTTGGGCTCCCATGTGTGCGTGGACTTGCTCACACGGTGGTGCCTATGTTGAACTACCCCAGCTGACTCATCATTAAGTAGAGACAAGCTGGACCCACCCAGCTCTGCCCAAATTTCAAATTTCTGAACAAAACAGATGACTGTGGCTTTAAGCCATTAAGGCTTGGGATAGTTTACTTTGTAGCAATCAATCACTAGAATGTATACTCCATGCTATATGTTGCATGAATCCATTCCCACATCTTTCTAGGGTGCCTCCTGGTGCTGCAGAGTCTAGGAAGCTAAAAACTACACTGCCTAGAGTCTCTTTTCATTAGGATCATGATTGTGAGTTAAGCTACACCAATTAGACATATGTGCCCAAAGCTTGGAAGGCAGAGGCCAATGTCTTGCAGCTTTTGGCTACTTTCTGCCGCAAAGCAAGATCATGGAGCTACTGGTAGCCACTCTCCAGCTTCATGGGCATCAAGAATCTTGTGGACGTGGCAGTGGCTAGGTTCCTCTGCCTAGCAAATGCGGTGGTGGCAGTAATTCATGCTGTTCCTGGCTTTCTGACCACTTTCTGGCCTTGTCTTGTAGCCATGATGGTCTTGCAGTCAACAGTCCCAATGGCAGCTTCCTGAGTCCTCCTTCCTGATTGTGGCAGAGGTGACAGCTCCCCTGGCAGATTGATTTTACCACATTATGGGAGCCATCCTTGGAGGCCCAACCTAGAGCCCTGTCTTCCAGCCCTTCCAACAAGTTTGCAATTCTTCATGTTATATTCTTTTTTGGTTAAAACCCCTCGCATGGTTTCTATTTCCCACACAGAACCCTGAACCACGTGATCCCAAAGTTTTGTCTCTTTTCAGTCTTTCTTTTGTTCTTGCTTGTTTGTTTTCTCTCATTTAATCATTCCTTTAATAAATATTTATGGAATGTCTACTACGTGCCAGGCACTGCACTAGACCCTGGAGAAAAATCGATGAACTAAACAGACATAGCCTCGCTCTCATAAGACGAGGCAGAGCAAAGACCATGAGGCAGCAAAAGACAACCCCTGGGTCCAGTCGGCCCCTGCTTGTTTTTGTATATAACGTTTCCTTGGAACACAGCACACTCATTCATTTATGTCTTGTCCATGGCTGGTTTTGCCCAACAATGGTAAAGTCGAGTAGTTGCAACAGAGACTGTGTGACCTACAACGCCGAAAATACTTACTGGCCCTTTTCAGAAAAAGGTTGCCAGCCCCTGTATTAGATATTTAAAACGCCAAGTCATACTCCTGGAGTTCCCCACAGCCAATCAATTGCTCTTTCTGTCAATTCTGCAGACACCAGGGGTCCCCAACCCTTGGGCCACGGACTGGTACCAATCCATGTCCTGTTAGGAACTGGGCTGCACAGCAGGAGGTGAGCGGCGGGTGGGTGAGCATTACCGCCTGAGCTCCACCTCCTGTCAGATTAGCAGTGACATTAGATTCTCACAGGAGGCTGAACCCTATTGTGAACTGTGCGTGTGAGGGATCTAGGTTGAGGGCTCCTTATGAAAAGCTAATGCCTGATGATCTGAGGTGGAATGGTTTCATCCCGAAACCCTTCCTCCACCCCCATGCCCACTCCAGGCCATGGAAAAATTGTCTTCCACGAAACTGGTGCTGGTGCCAAAAAGGTTGGGGACAGCTGGCAACACCATAGCATCATGCACGGTGCTAAGCACTTCATGAGAATCTTCTCAGTTAATTCTCACAACAACCTTTGTGATTCATTATTATTATCTCTGTTCTACAGACAAAGAGACTGAGATTTAGAGAGATTTGGGCTTAGGTGACTAAGAGGATGATGATACGGAAAAGGAATAGAAAAGAGGCAGAAGATGACAAGCTCAGTCCGAACTCACACCTCCTGCAGAGAGGCACACGGGGCCATCCCGGTAGATTTCCTGGTTGGTGTGGATTTCAAGTCTGGACAGCTTCTAAGTTCAAATCACAATTCTACCATTGACTAACTAGCTGTGTGACTTTGGGCAGGTTATTTCACTTTCCCTCATGGCCTCTTTTATTTTTAATTTATTATTATTATTATTATTATTATTATTATTATTATTATTTTGAGATGGAGTTTCGCTCTTGTTGCCCAGGCTGGAGTGCAATGGCATGTTCTCAGCTCACTGCAACCTCTGCCTCCCCGGTTCGAGTGATTCTCCTGCCTCAGCCTCCCGAGCATCTGGGATTACAGGCACACACCACCACGCCTGGCTAATTTTTTGTATTTTTAGTAAAGACGGTGTTTCACTATGTTGGCCAGGTTGGTCTTGAACTCCTGATCTCAGGCGATCCACCCACCTCGGCCTCTCAAAGTGCTGGGATTACAGGCTTGAGCCACCACGCCTGAGCTATTTATTAATTTTTTAAAGAGACAGGGTTGCTGTGTCACCCAGGGTGGAATAAAGTGGTACAATCATAGCTCATCACTGTAACCTCTAACTCCTGGGCTCAAACCGTCCTTC